CCCTACGTGGAGGCCATCTTGAATTGGGTTGACGCCAAGGCTGTGTCTCAATACATGGTACCCCACCTGGACACTGTCGGCAACATCCTTCCCACTCAAGGTAGGCTGCTGTGAAATGAGACGGTCTAGCCTTCATTTGGCGTATGTTTGCCTGACCATGCACTACCACGTTACCAAATTGGTCAGTTTTACATCACTTACCTTCAGACTTAAAATTCATTGAGACATGTATTTACACGTCTTTTCACCGAATAACTTCACAATTAAACCGTTGCATGTAAATAAAAAAAACATTTATAATTTGGGTTTAGCTCCAGTATCAGTACTTGTAGTTCGATTTATTTAATGTCTTACTGCAGCATGAATTTTATCAGCTAAGTTGTTAAACTTACATTTAAAAACAAATGAATTAGTTTGTGATGAATATCCAAATTATGCTGACTTGGTAGTGCATTTAATCCTGGAATATCCTTTGCCAGGTAGGATACTCGGATGCATCATTGATTTTCAAGATTTTTTTGGACCGCATTCCTCGTCCGCATGAGGGGAAGCCTTTGAATTGGGGCAGTGATGTACTGTATGCGGTAGATAAATGAATAGAGACACAGCTCAAATGTTAAGGAGTTTTAGATTACTTTCTGACACTTTCACAATGGTTCATGGGAGATTTCTCTAACAAACAGGGTTGTTGCCAACAAGGAAGTGACAAAAGTGTTATCTGAAATATTGGGCAAAGTGTAGTCCTCAGTCAGCGTGTTAGGAATGGCTCTCAGCTACTATCAGACCAACTTTTAGCTCAGTATCTGTAAAGTTGGCCGTTTTAACCATTGATGTTCTCTGGTGGRCATCTTTAATTGGGTTGACTCCAAATGTTAATCAGTTGAAGATGAACTTCCAGTGATTACCTTCTGTAGCTTTATGAAAATGTATCTACAGTGATTCATGTGATAATTCTCTAATGCCACACTCACTCACACACTCACCCCTGTTGTTGCATTTTATTTTTCTTTGAGTAAAACTCGTTAAGAATGTCGGCCAGTAAATAAATCCATGAATAAAGGAAAATGTTCTTTTCACAACCTTTGTTGTTGTTTTTTCATACCCAACAGCTCCTGCAGGCCTTACATTTATTTTTAGCATTTTTTCACACTCTAAAGTAGTTTAACTTTTTTTTTTTGTGAAGCTTGAGACCTTTACACAGGAACTGAAAGACTTTGTTTCCCAGCAGAAGCCTGAGAGATTGCAGATAGTGCACAGCTCATTTACTTGCAGCAGATTCTGTAGTTAGTTACCCATTGCACCAACAAACACCCAAACATTTAAACAATAAATTCTAATTGATATCAGGGAGAGACGTGATTTGTCTCATTAGTTCTTGTGGTGTCAATACTTGTATGACATAGTGACTTATCCAGTGTGTTTATATGGAAAATGTTTATTTGACCAACCTTCTCATCGACTAAAGCTACGAGAATCTTTGTAGAGATGGGAAAGATTCCCATGGTAACAACTTGTGTTGCCTTCACTAAGGCAGCTGTTAGATGAGGACTGAGCTGTGTGATGACTAAAGTAAACCTCACTAAGGTATTGATGATTTTGTTGGTTTAGGTTTGTTTACAGTGATGATCTTTGACCCAATCCTAGATCTGTCCAATTAATTTGCTGTTTGGCCCTATTCTGATGCTTTAAAAATTGAAGTTGCTTTTTTTTCTTTAAGAATAAAGAGTGTTCATTCAGGTGTTCAGATGCACCAACATCACTGCTGTACGTGTGGTCACTCAGTGGTGGCAAAACATCCAGATTACCAGTGATGGTTGTGAAATTATAAATATATTCAACAAAACTGGAATTCCTTGGAATGATCATCACCCGCCACCTTTAATGCCCAAGATTTAGGCTAAAATCATCTTATGTTGAGAAGAGACAGAGTTATAGCTGTTATAACTTGTACATTATGAGATACTGTGAGATCTGTGTCAGGACTCAGAATGCATTAAGGATGACTCTCAACTACCACACAAATTTTACTCAAAGTTCACTTTTAAAGGGAACCCTGACTTTTTGTAACGTTAGAAATTATTTGATAAATATTTACTTCAACTGTAAAAGAAAGACTAAAAATGTAGGCTGTTTAGTTTTTACAAATTAAAAAAAAGTTCACATGGATGGTGCCATTTTATTAACGCAGCAAAACATTCTGGGAAAATGATGACATTCGCTAGGTCCTCTGCTGGTACAAATCTTGTTGTTTTTTTCTCCAGTGCAGTGCGAGCGAGCTCCATCAACTCTGAAGGTTAATCGTTGACAATATCTGATGATCAGCCCTTTTAAATGAAACCATTGACAGAGACAAGGATGGAGAAATGACTCAGGATAAAACTGAAAGTGCAGATAGAGGACAACAGAGATGCGAAGGAGAACATCAGCTTAGCCTGTTAGCTTTAGCATTAGCACCCAAGCTAAAATATATGACGCCAAATAAAAAAATTACTTCAATTGTAAAAAAAACGACTAAAAATGAAGGGTGTTTGATGATATAGCATTAGCTATATAACTAACGCCACATATTTATTAATTTTATAAGGTGTGAGTTCCCAATAGGGGTGGGTACCAAATTCAATATTTTTTATAAGTACCGACCAAATTCTGTCAGTACTACTGGGTACCTATTCACTTAAAATCCAAAGGTACCATGTTTCGGTACCTAAACGCATCATTGTGACCGTATTGGTGTAAGAGTGGTGAGTTTTCCATGCTTGTCCTGAACGCAGCATCACACAAGAGCGTAATGACGTCAGCAGCCGCTGGTTCAGTAAACAGAGTTCGGTCTGAACGTAGCATGAAAGCTGCACAGCTCCTAGAGTGAAACTCACCAAACAGACCGCCTCTGAATTATCTGGTGGATTAATTATCTTGTGAAKARMACGTTCGCTTGCTCAAAGTAAATAAAGTACCGCCAATTTCTTTATTTCATCCACCATTAAACAGAGACCAGCAGAGGAAAACAACAGAGGCACTTCCGGATAGTCCGAACACGTCTGACCTACAGTAAAGAGCACAAGCAGCCAACTTGAAGCGTTGGACGCGTTTTGGATGCTCAAAACGTAGCTTGAATACCTTTTATTTATTTTAACTCAATCCTCTTTTGCTTATTTGATTTAAACTTATTTGCCTTCCATGGACCTCCATCACACAATTTTTCTCGTGGGCAAATGACACCAATAGAAACACGTGGAGCTGGATTTTAATTTGTACAATAAGACAAAACAGTCTTGTTTTCAAGTGTTTTCACTTTAAAGAAATAAGTTACACAACTGATGTTACAATACAAAGAGTTGGATGTTGTCTTGATATTTGTTAAATTTTATATATTCTGAAATAAATGTTTATAATAAAAAAATAAGTTTATTATTAAAAAAAACACACATAAAATACAGAAAATTGGTACCGTTAAGTACTGGTACCGATTCCCAGGTACTGGATATTGGTACTGAATCGATTCAAATGTCAAAGGTACCCATTAGCTCTGAATGAGCCACCGTGCTGATGATGTTATTCCCGTTTAGCAAACTAGAACGAACCAGTCTGGAAGCTGGACAGAGGCGGGGTGTGAAGCGCCTCATTTGCATTTAAAGACACAGCACCAAAATGAGTTGCTCTCAGACGCACATCAGAACAGGGATGAAAGAGGGGCCTGTGGAGCTACAATAACAAGGAGTTCAGATCAAAGCATTGCAGCTCCACTTTATATAGACCACAACTCTATCATTTAAAAATTAAAAATACAGATTTAAAAGCATGACATGTCTCCTTTAACACAGAGAGGTCAATTTGAATCAGTCTGGACATTTAGCACCAGCGGTTTTTTTGAGTAGCCTTAAATTAAAGACAGAAGAAACTTTTCAATTGTCAGTTCAAATCAGGCGTTACGCTCATAAAATAACTGTCAGTCATAAATGTTTACCCAAAAACACACACAGGATCGGTTGTGTTTACCCCGTAAATTCACATGTCTTTCTCCAGTGTGGTCGTGGCCTTTCTGCATGCAGGTCGGTCATGGTGCAAAAGAAGAAGAAAAAGCACATTATGTTTATGGTATATAATACTGGCAATAAAAAAGCACCTTTTGATGTACAGGGTCACATGTAGCTGGTGCCTTTAATAACACAAGCATAAGTGCATGTAGGGTTGAAGGATCTGTGCAGCACAGGGTTTTATGTACAGTATGTAAGGAAACATGCATATTTGCTTGGGTGCAAAATAGCAGTGGTTGAAGTGGCTGGGTACAAAGTGGAGTTCTGATTTGTCTGGATGGATGACGTGACCAGCACCTGAACCGGAGCTACTTATCATGAGGCTTGATTTATTACCTGCCGGTATAAAGCATTTACAGTATTACATCATCTACAAACAATCTTAATTATTGATAATCAGGTATCATTAGTGTTTGGCAAAAAGCGAGCCAGTGTTTGTTGTTTAACACTGAGACCTAGTTTCTTTATGTTTTGCTGTTTTTGTTGCTGTAGGAGGAAACAAACGATGGGAAATGAGCTCTGTCGTCACTGACATTTGCCAGAACTTGCAGGAGATTATAACCAATTTAAAGAATGATTAAACATACACCGGCTCAGACATGTTTATGTGCTGGAATTTCTTTCTTCTGTTACCACAATCATTTTTTATCTGACATGGATCTTTAAAAGTAATAAAATTTGCATGACATGAATAAAAACAAATAAAAGTTTGATTCAAGATTTAACTCAGGTGTAAACTTTCATTTCTGTTGTTGGAGAAGAAATCAACAACTTCCTCTGCTTTTCTTCTTAATATTGAAATGACCTCAGATGAGATGGAAAAAAAGTCTCTCTTGATGCGACACTTCAGCACGGAAAAAGAAACACTTGAACGATGAACCAACATCGTGATGACGGTGATGAATCGTGTTTAAAGCGCCCTGTTGTGAGAGAGAATGTGTTGTTTTCTTTCRTTCTCGCATGTAGGTGGTCCTGGACATGACATTTGGAGGCGGTGGTCATACCAAAGCAATARTGAGCGCCGTTCCCCAAGTCACGGTGTTGGCCTTGGACCGAGATCCCACGGCGTTCTCTCTGGCCCAGCAGTTGGCCAGGGAACACTCGTAAGTGATTTATTAAAAAAAAAGAAAAAGATCAACTCTAACTCAGAGCCTAAAGCTGCACCCCGTCTAGACTAATGTTTATACTGTAACACGACTAATATTTCACAGCGAGTTTTTATTGTCGCAGTCGACAGCTTGACAGTTTTAAGAAGTGTTAGGTTCTGCGGTCATTCTTTTCTTAAAACATACTGTGGGCTTGATAAACAGCAGTAATGCGGCTTTCCCTCTATTTCTCACTTCTTCTCTGAGCCCGATCCAATGCAGCTTGCCAAGATACAGCCCCTGAGTTTCACCGTCCAATCAAATCCATCCTTCCTCCTTAACTTAAAGCTTCTCTTCCCCCCACGCAAAGCTGGTGGGCCCAGCATGTCATTTGTCAGAGTAAGGGCCCACGCCTGCTGTGTGAGGGAGATGCTGCCTCCCACGGAGGATCTATAAGTTATGGGGAGGGGAGGAGAGCGAGAGAGAGAGAAACTGCAAACATAAAAGTGAGCGAACAGGGAGACACGAGGACACGGTGCCAGGGTGAGCGGGAGTGTGTGTGTGTGTGTGCATGAGCAAGGCGCGGGTGGATGAAAATGAGATGTTCCTAAGACCGTGGCGTGGGAAGGAATCCTTTTACGTAGATTCTGGGGAAACCTCTCTCAAGGGAATCTGCCGGAGAACTGTGCCTGTGAGCGGGGAATGACAATTAAGGGAGAGAGAGAAAATAAGAACACTGTATTCTGTCAGCAGCAATATACCCCCGCTGTAAACTCCTCCACGCCTACTCGTGATGCAAGTTGAGAGAGGCTAGAGAAATCTAGCAATTAACCAATATTATTGGGAGCCTGAGTAAAAGACCCTGCCTGCCTACGCTGTGCATCCACACGTCAGGGTTGGAGGATTTTCTTTCTCCTCCGCACTCCCGTGTCTGGAGGAAAGTGTAACCCCCCCACTCAATGCAAACTTTTGAACGTCGGTGTCAATCAGAACCAAGTTTTACTAAAGCATGGGAACAATCTGGTGTCCAGGTGCTTACAAAAAGCATTACGTGGTGAAAACTCAGCCATGTCTTTAACAGGATCTGCATCCTGCATGTTGAGCCGTGCTGTTCTCTGCAGCGATTCTTCTTGTTGCCATGACTTACCTGCACTGGAAGCACTGCGATTGTTGCACCCACAGTAAACAATATAAATGTGGGGGAAAAAAAGCACCGGTCGTTACGGAACAAGCATCGAATCTGCAGTTTTAATAAGATCCCACAGACTGATGGGATGTTTTTAATGATTTGCTGGAAATTTTGTGCGTTTTGTAGATTTTAAACCAGGTTAGTTGTCAGGATTAAAAACGTTGAGTTTGGATTGCTTGGCTTGTTAAGTAGACCTATTGAGAAACATGTTTAAAAATGAAACAAATTTTTCAATGAGAYGTTCAGATTTGCTCAAAAGGAATCCTACCTCCTCATTATTATCGTCTTTGACTTTAGGTTTCCTGGCACAAAGTCGAGCTTGTTCTCAGTGCGTGTTGGACTCCACAAGGGCTGTCCCTTGTCTCCGATCCAGTTTTTAGTGTTTATGGACAGGATCTCAAGGCGCAGTCGTGAAGAGGAGGGTGTCTAGTTTGGGAACCTCAGGGTCTCGTCTCTGCTGTATGCAGATGATGTGGTTCTCTTCAGTCCAAGACCTTCAGCGTGCACAGAGGCGGTTCGCAGTCGAGTGTGAAGTAGCTGGGATGAAAGTCAGTTCCTCTAAGTATGAGGCTGTGGTTCTCGACCGGAAAAGGGTGGAATGCCCCCTCCGGGTCGGGGGAGAGTCTCTGCCTCAAGTGGAGGAGTTTAAGAATCTGGGTGTCTTGTTCACGAGTGATGGTAGGATGGAGTGGGAGATGGATCAACAGATTGGGGCTTCATCCTCAATAATGAGGGCGTTGCTTCGGTCAGTCTTGGTGAAGAAAGAGCTGAGTCGAAAGGCAAAGCTCTTGATTTACTGGTCTGTCTTCATTCCAACCTTCACCTATAGTCATGAGGCATGGATCATGACCAAAAGAACGAGATCCCGGATACAAGCAGTCGAAATGAGCTTCCTTCGTAGGGTGGCTCAGTGTTAGAGATAGGGTGAGGAGGTCCGTCATCCGGGGGGAGTTCGTAGTAGAGCTGCTGCTCCTCCACGTCAAAAGGAGTCAGTTGAGGTGGTTCATCTGATTAGGATGCCTCCTGGACGCCTCCCTTTAGAGGTGTTCCGGGCACATCCCATTGGTAGGAGGCCCCGGGAAAGACCCAGGACTCTTGGAGGGATTATGTATCTTCTCTGGCCTGGGAACGCCTTGGGGTCCCCCAGGACGAGCTGGAAAGTGTTGCTGGGGAGAGTGAGGTCTGGGTTTCTCTCCTGGACCTGTTGCCTCCGCGACCCGACTACGGGTAAGCAATAGGTTAAGTAATAGGTTATTTAATTCTCATTAGAAACTTTATTTTTCACCTGAGAGGAAAATAATGCTCTTTCTGTACTGCATTTATGATTTTATAGCCTAACAACTCTGTCCCATTTATTTCACAGTTTAAAAGGATAAATTCCCATCAGATCTGATTTTACTTTGCATGGTTACAGTTGAATGTATCGATATAAACAACAAATTAAATAGGATTTAGTAAGAAGTAAGAAGTAAGTAAGAAACTGAAGATTTCACACATGCTCTAAAATGATTTTATAACTAATGAACTCCTTTTCTTTAAGGTGAAAGCAGATCACTGTCATCGCTTGTTAGGGCACTCGTTTTTAAGCGTAGCTCTGCTTTTTATTTACCAGTTGCCATGGTGTTTCACTTTATCAAAGCTCCATTTACGATGCCCCCCCCTCCCCATCACTGACGRACACGCTTAACTGAGACCGAAAATAATCAGATTTGATTGGAATGAATCAGATCAGCTGTGCCGCTAAGCTCTCATCTCAATTTAGATCAATTAAAAGTTTGATAAAATGCTTTCTGAAACCTGCAGACCGGCTTTGAACATCAGTGTTGTACAGTGCGTCTGAACAAGCACAGTGTTAGTAATATTAGAGATGGGGATTTTATTTAAATCTTTGCCTCAGGTGGAGGCGTCTTGTTCACAAGAACAGTCATTTGCAGATTTAAAATTTGAACAGAAAACGTAAGAAAGACCTGTTTTTCTGAAGTGGTCGATCTGCAAAGTAGAAACTGAAAAACTGGTTGCTTGGTTATGTGACGGAAAGTTATTTCTAAATGAAGTCAGAGTTTTACTGGAAGCTGGTGAAATGGGMAAACAGGGAAACAGTGTGAGTAGGGCAGGAGAAGAGTTAAAAGGGTCAATATTTGTACACCTGATATTTCAAGAGTTTAACAACTTTGATTTAGCAAATAAGACAAACTATTTTTATTTTCTCAGTGATGATATATTTTATTTTGATTTAACCCCAAACAGTCTTTGTTCCACCGGTGAGCAAAAACGGTGCAGTTTCTGCCTTTAAACATTTCCAGACACTACACAGGGCTTTTATTTTGAAAACTAGGGTGTCAGACGACTCCCTTCGGTTCTTACCTTTAGTTTGACACCCTTACAAAAAATGAAAAATGTCGAAAGGCTTTTAAGGAATTTCTGGGTTGACTGTTAATTTATTTACAAATCTAATGTAAAACTTTCCCMAAGTATAATTTTACCTGAACACAATAAAATAATCAAGAATTATTTGTGTTATATTTATAAAACAACATTTTTTTGTTTGTAATCTTCCTTTCATCGATACGTTTTAATCAAGTCCTCATGTAATTTAGCCTTTTCAACCAGGAGTTACTTTCTAAATTTTTCTATTTCTAGAAGAGATTATCTGAAGCGTTAACAGTCATTTATTGACAAAAACACAGTTTTCCTCTGGCTTCAATGACAGTAACCACAGGAAGTTTTTTGTGGTTGTCTTTAGGCCAATTGAGGCTCATTCATGAAAAAAAAAGCATTTTTGAAAGACCAGACTCTCTGTGTTTTTATCCTTCTCCTCCCTTTTTCTCCCTTCACTCCACTGTAGATATTTTCATCACTGCTCCCCTGCTGAAAGCAATCAATCAGCATCTTGTCTTTGGCTTCAGTGACGCAGGTAAAAGAACTGAGGAGATCAACACAAGGGAATATTTCAGGCTTGATTTGTGAAGAGACAGCATCGTGTTGAATAAGCATGAGAAGGATCCTGATGTCCTCTCTGTGTTCGTTCACCTGCTTTTATCAAGAAAAAATAAATCAAAGTAATTAATTAGTGAATTATATTTGGTTTATTGTAAACTAACTGAAACAGGATAAATAAAAATATAGATTATTAGAGAAATTGCATTTTCTGCAGAAAAGCAATGACGAGCTTAATGACTTGATGAAATTTGCAGAAGAAGCTGAAATTGAACTTTTAAAGCCACAAGTTAAACATATCTAAAGACTAGATAAAAACTAAAAGTAGCAAAAGGCTAGCTAATAGCTAAAAGTGACAAAGTATTAAGCATTTATTTACAATAGTAGTTTGGTGGTCGGTGGTGTGATTTTGAGATCCTGCAGCTGCAGGTTTGAGCCCAGGTCAGGAAGAGCATTCGTCACTTTTTGGGACTGTAGTGCCAGCATCAGGAACAGCAAATCTTCAATGGTGTGAAGTAATTTCTGTGAAAAGATCAGTTGCTATGTTTTCTGCTGGAGATAGCTTAACTAGTTCTTGTGCAGCATAAAGCTGGGTTGGCAGGGCAAGATAATTGTGCCAATTTTTGACCTGATTTTGCACTTCTGACAAACCGTCTTAAGGCCGCCCTGATTATGGTGATAGCTGTAAAGACAGTTTTATAAGATATTCCTGCCGTGTGTGGAGTGTTAAGAGGCTCGTAAGGACATCTGGACCACTCCAACCACAAATCTGGGTTATTCATATGTTGGATGGTCTTGGCTCGATATCGCAATTTGTGGTGTTCCTTGATGACAAACGAGCTCACAGCCTGTTGAAGGAGACATGTAGCCAATCAGAAAGAGAAGTGATGGA